ATAAAGCTTACAAGTACAGAATTTGATTAAAAAAAAGTATCAATGTTGCCACCTCTGATGAAGCACTGGAAGACGGGGGAGTTTTCAAAAGTTAATTGTTAAACTTTTGTACCTCACAATAAGCAGACTAGACATTTCTTATGCAGTTCAATGCCTAAGTCAGTTCGTGCATGCACCCAAGAGATATCATTATGAGGCATTTCTACATATAATTAGATACATAAAAAGATAGCCAGGTCTAGGAATTCTTATGTCAAGTAAAGGGACATAACATATTGAAACTTACTGTGACTCTGATTAGGCATCTTGTCCCATGTCAAGGAAATATTGAAACTTACTGTGACTCTGATTAGGCATCTTGTCCCATGTCAAGGAAATCTGTGACTGGGTACTGTATCAAGCTAGGAGATTCATTGATCTCTTGAAAAGCTAAGAAACAGAGTACTATCTCTAGAAGTTCTACAGAAGCAGAATATAGAAGCATGGCACACACAGTGGCAGAGCTGGTTTGGCTCAATGGCTTGCTGAAAGAGTTAAGAATGGATGTGCAGTTGCCAATGAAGATGTTTAGTGACAACAAAGCTTCCTATATATCATGAGAGAACAAAACACATAGAAATAGATTTCCACTTCATAAGAGAGAAGATACAAGAGGGGTTGATTGAGACTTCTCACATATCAAGCCAACAACCAGCAGACATTTTGACAGAGCCACTTGGGCATCAGCAACATGCTTTTCTGTTGACCAAGTTGGGAATGAAAAATATTTTTCATTCTCAACTTGAGGGGGAGTGTAGAGAAATAAAATATAGTTGAGGCATTTTGTACATTGTGTTATTTAACATGTACTCTTTTAGATGTATCTATTAGTTGACTAGTTAGGACAACTTTGTATATACTAGATACAATTTGTACACTGTACATATAAGAAAAGAAATACATATTATAATTTCTCTCTCTACGATCTTCTATCTCTTACTCTGCATTTCCTCTCTTCTTCTTACTAGACCTTGCCTCCATTTTCATGGCAGATCTAGGTTAGTTTTGACAATTGGCCCATTATAAAAAGTGTTAAAGAATGGAAACAAGCCTATTTACAAGGAAATGTTGTATGCTGATTACATTAGCCATTTCTTTCGCAAAAGTCACGATGGGAAGGCCACTATATTGAATTTGCAAAGATATAGGCAAAAATATTCTACCTTGATTGTAATTCTAATTAATGGGTCCTTATGTTTGCAAAATACATTTCTTACTACATCATGAAATTCTTAAATGCACTGCTCGTGTAATCAACAGCGGAGCCAAGAATTTATATAATGTGATTCAAAAATGTCACACCTCTAAATTTGGACTTATGATCTAAAACAATTTTTGAAACCCTTTGCCACTTTATTAGAACTTTTCATTATGTCAAGGAAAAAACTAATATATAACCAATAAAATTCAGTTTTTGCAATTAAAGTAAAATTCTCAAGAGATTACACCGAAAGGAGCTTAATTGATACAATGAGCCAAACTGTTGGAGATCTCGAGGATCTTACTTGAATAACAAATAATGCAAATTATAAATTAAAAAGAGAACACAGCAAGAGAAGCTGACCCTTTGGGGAAGCACACATAAGATTTTGGGAGAGAAAATAGAAATCCTCCAAATAGGAGGATGAAACAACAACAACAACAACAACAATATGCCCAGTATAATCCCACCAATGGGGTCTGGAGAGGGTAGTGTATACGCAAACCTTACTCCTACCTAGAGAGGTAGAGAGACTGGTTCCGATAGACCCTCGGCTTAAATAGAAGGATGAAAAGGATCTAAAAATCAAGGAAATGGTGAAGATTGATTGAAGTGAATGGTTTAATCAATATTAGTAGTAGGTTGTTGGGGGAGGTGAAGCATAGGTGGCAGATTGCTCGTATTTTACAGGTGGTGGAGGTGAGGCATAGACGGGAGTTTGCTTATAGTAGTTCGTTGGCAGCGGAGGTGAGTAGTATGATGACGAGTTTTCATAAGTCTTTGGTAGAGATGGTAAGTTATAAGTTATAGGTGATTACTCGTAGTATTTTGATGGAGGTGGAGGAGATTTGTCGGAAGGTGTAGATTCTTTGTAGTATGTTAGTGGTGGAGATTTATAATTCATTGGAGATTGCTCATAGTATTTTGGTGGTGGTGGTAGAGAATTGTATGACGATGGTTGCTCATAGTATTTTGGTGGTGGTGGTAGAGAATTGTATGACGATGGTTGCTCATAGTATTTTGGTGAAGGTGGAGGAGATCTGTAAGAAGATTGTGATTGCTCGTAGTATTTTGTTGGGGGTGGGTGTGACTTGTAATAAGGTGATTGCCCATACTATGTTGGAGGAGGTGGAGGTGACTTGTAATACGAAAGTGATTTCTCATAATAAGTTAGTGGTGATGGAGACTTATAGTAAACTGGGGACTTGTAATATTTTGGTGGTGGCAGTGACTTATAATATTTTGCGGGAGCTGGCGATTTGTAGTATTTTGCTGGGGATAGTGACTTGTAATACATTGCAGGTGATGGCACTTTGTAGTACTTTGTAGGTGATGGCGACTTGTAGTAGTACTTTGAAGGAGCTGGCGACTTGTAGTATTTTGTAGGAGCTGGCGACTTGTAGTATTTTGCGGGAGCTGACGATTTGTAGTATTTTGTTGGGGATGATGACTTGTAATACTTTGCAGGTGATGGCGCTTTGTAGTACTTTGTACATGATGGCGACTTGTAGTAGTTATTTGAAGGAGCTGGCGATTTGTAGTATTTTGCTCGGGATGGTTACTTGTAATACATTGTAGGTGATGGCACTTTGTAGTACTTTGAAGAAGCTGGCAAATTATAGTAGTTCTTTGAAGGTGTTGGTGACTTGTAGTAGTTCTTTGAAGGAGCTGGCGACTTGTAGTATTTTACGGGAGCTGGCGATTTGTAGTATTTTGCGGGAGCTGGCGCCTTGTAGTAATTTGCGGGAGCTGACGACTTGTAATATTTTATGGGAACTGGAGATTTGTAGTATTTTGCGGGAGCTGTGACTTGTTGTAGTGCTTTGCAATAGCAGGTGACTTATAGTAAGGAGTAGGTACTGGGTACTTGGGTGGAGATGGTGATTTGTAATACTTCTTAGAGTTGTAAGAAGGAGAAGGAGAAGCATACCCATAAGAGTAATCAGCAACAACAGCGCTAGCTATAAAGCAAATTGCCAAAGCAGTTGCAAGTAAAGGCAATTGCCCCATCTTCCCTATGCTTGTCGTTTTGCTTTTGCAGCCAACAATACTTGGAGAAAGAATGAAAAGAACTTAAACTTGACTTGCATATTGAGTAGGGAGCTCTGGTTTTTATATGGCAACCTAATATTATCGCTTTATGTTTGTGTTATTGATACCCACTAAGAATATAGCTAAGTCAAAATATGGGCTTGATCTTTTCTATAATTAGTGGTAGGCATTTTCTCCAAGACTTGTCTTGCATAGTTGAGTAGGGAACGTTGGTCTTAACATTTATAAAGAATAAAGAATAGGCGAGTATTTAGTGGTTATCTCTTTTTAATTTAGAGATAAATATTAAAAATGGAGAAAACAATAAGGATGCCATACCACGACTTGCATCCCACTAGCGAATAATTAAGTTGACTTGTACAAATAATTACGGTATATTGAATATGAAGTTCAAAAAGAATTAGGGAAACCAAGCGAATACACACAAAAGATTATCCCTTAAGTGGTCGTTTGGTTCAGTTATGAAATATCCCATGGTAATATAATTCTGGGATATTCTATGGATTATCTATCCCGCCTCTGATAGGGATAGCTAATACCATCATTTTGGTATTTATTCTATATTGGTATTAATTTATACCCACAATCAAATATAAAATAACTCTAATCCCAAATTCTATATGGAGATTAATATCTTTATCCCAATATATAACCAAACGACCCCTAAATGTATCGGTATGAGAATCACATACAACCTGGGATTGGACTAGGCACTTGTAAAACGGTTTGAGCCAGATGTGGGAGAGTCTTGTCTCTTAAAGTTTGCCAAGCGCCCGCATGTTAAAATGCATCAATGCCCAAGTATCAGAGGCAGATACAGGATTTAAATTTTATGGGTTAAATTTTTACGATTCTAGCATTGAACCCTTAAAAGTTATAGGTTCATATCTATTATTTGTTGCAATTTTAGTAAATGTTTACTCATAAATTTCTACTCCGTACTGGGTTCAGATGAACTAAATACCAGCGCTCTATATCTGCCCCTGTGCCCAACGCACGAGGCTCGTCCAATTGATTTTGTGCAATCTGAGTGTAATTAGTTGTGTAAATCCAGAAATTCCTTAACTAAGCTGTCTATATTGACCATAAATCAGAAGTGAGAACATTGCAAGCTTAGTCTTTAAAACGTCACGTGATCTCTTCTTTTATGTTAAAGTTTTAACGGGCAGAGTTACCTAATATCTATACTAGTTGAAGAACCAATATCTATACTAGTCGTAGAAAGCATCACAGGTTCTGTTAAACTTACCCCGACACCCACTTATTATCGAGAGAGAACTTCAAATAATTAGTAAGAAAATGTTTCGTGATTCATTTTATGCTAATGTTTGACAATTATATTTATTTAATTAGAGTTTTATAAGCTTAACGTATTTTTAGCAATTTTTTAATTTTTCTACTATTTGCAGATTTATAAATTAGTAAAATTTAAAGATTTATAGGGCTTGCTCACCATGTCTGGAGCTTACACTTCGCTTTGTGCCCCCGTCCTTCAATACACTACGTCAGACCTTAAAACTTTAACTTTTGCCATTTTTGTGCTTTTCAATTTTTATTTAAATCTTTTGGAAACCATGAAAAGAGATTAAAAATTTCTTGAAATTTTAGAATAGAACGGTTATAAACCATTCTCTGGAAAACTATCTCAAGAGACAAAGAAGACGACAGAATTGAAAAATAGAATGCAAAGAATCCGATATAATGAGCAGAATTGATGGAGATCTCAAGGATCTTATTTAAATCAAACAATAAATAATACAAATATTAAAACAAAAGAAAATGGAACACACACTAAGCAAACCCGATCATTTCGGGAAGCATACATCAAATTTCGGCTGAGGAAATGGAATTGCTAAATATAAAAGGACAAAAAGGAATAATAAGCCATGGAAATGCGAAAATGATTGAACAGTTAAAATTAGTAGTAGGTTGGCGGAGGAGATGCTGATGGGGGCGGAGGTGAAGCATAGGTAGCGGATTGCTCGTACTTCTCAGGTGGTGGAGGTGAGGCATAGGTGGGAGTTTGCTTATAATAGTTTGCGGGTGGTGGAGGTGAGTAATAAGATGGTGATTTTTCATAGGTTTTTGGTAGAGATGGCAAGTTGTAAGTTATAGGCGATTGCTCGTAGTATTTTGGCGGAGGTGGAGGTGATTTATAGGAAGGTGTAGATTCTTTGTAGTATGGTGGAGGTGGAGATTTGTAAGAAGATGGTGATTGCTCGTAGTATTTTGGTGGGGGTGGAGGTGACTTGTAATAAGGTGACTGTTCATAGTATTTTGGAGGAGGTGACTGTTCATAGTATTTTGGAGGAGGTGGAGGTGACTTGTAATACGAAGGTGATTTCTCATAATAAGTTGGTGGTGGTGGAGACTTGTAGTAAACTGGGGACTTGTAATATTTTGGTGGTGGCGGTGACTTATAGTATTTAGAGGGAGCAGACGATTTGTAATATTTTGCTGGGGATGGTGATTTGTAGTACTTTGCAGGCGATGGCGATTTGTAGTAGTTCTTTAAAGGAACTGGTGACTTGTAGTAGTTCTTTGAAGGAGCCGGCGACTTGTAGTATTTTGCGGGAACTGGCGACTTGTAGTATTTTGCGGGAACTGGCGACTTGTAGTATTTTGTGGGAGCTGGCGATTTGTAGTATTTTGCGGGAGCTGGTGCCTTGTAGTATTTTGCGGGAGCTGGCGACTTGTAGTATTTTGCGGGAGCTGGCGATTTGTAGTATTTTGCGGAAGATGGTGCCTTGTAGTATTTTGCAGGAGCTGGCGACTTGTAATATTTTGCAGGAGGTGGCGCCTTATAGTATTTTACGGGAGCAGGCGCTTTGTAGTATTTTGCGGGTGATGGCGACTTGTAGTAGTTCTTTGAAGGAGTTGGCGATTTGTAGTAGTTCTTTGAAGGAGCTGGTGATTTGTAGTATTTTGTAGGAGCTGGTGCCTTGTAGTATTTTACTGGAGCTGGAGACTTGTAGTATTTTGCGGGAGCTGGTGACTTGTAGTAGTGCTTTGCAATAACAGGTGACTTATAGTAAGGAGTAGGTACTAGGTACTTTGGTGGAGATTGTGTTTTGTAATACTTCTTGGAGTTGTAAGAAGGTGAGGGAGAAGCATACCCATAAGAGTAATCAGCAACAACAGTGCTGGCTACAAAGCAAATTGCCAAAGCAGTTACAAGTAAAGGCAATTGCCCCATCTTCCCTATGCTTGTCGTTTTGCTTTTGCAGCCAACAATACTTGGAGAAAGAATGAAAAGAACTTAAACTTGACTTGCATATTGAGTAGGGAGTTCTGGCTTTTATATAGGAACATAATATTATAATTTTAGGTATGTGTTATTGGCGCCCACTAAGATTATAGCTAAGTCAAAATATAGGCTCGATCTTTTCTATAATTAGTGGCAGGCATTTTCTCCAAGACTTGTCTTGCATAGTTGAGTAGGGAACGTTGGTCTTAACATTTATGTAACTGCTACATGGTTAGCCACTAAGATCATAGCAAAGTCCAAATAAAGAATAGGCGAGTATTTAGTGGTTAGCTCTTTTTAATTTAGAGATAAATATTAAAAAGGGAGAAAACAATAAGGATACCATGCCACGACTTGCATTCCATTAGCGAATAATTAAGTTGACTTGTACAAATAATTTCGGTATATCGAATATGAAGTTCAAAAATAATTAGGGAAAACCAGCGAATACACACAACGGATTATACCTTAAGTGGTCGTTTAGTTCAGTTATGAAATATCCCATGGTATTATAATTTTGGGATATTCCATGGGTTATCTATTCTGTATCAGTGGATAGCTAATACTATCATTTTGGTACTAACTCTATATCGGTATTAGTTTATATCCACAATCAAATATGAGATAACTCTAATCCCATATTTTATACGCGGATTCATATCTTTATCCCGATAACCAAACGACCTCTAAATGTATCGGTATGAGAATCATGTACAACCTAGGATTGGACTAGGCACTCGTATAACGGTTTGAGCCAGATGTGGCCAGGAGAGTCTTGTCTCGTAAAATTTGAGCTTCAAGCGCCCGCATGTACCCTTAAAATACATTCAATGCCCAACGCATGAGGCTCGTCCAATTGATTTTGTGCAGTCGCGTGTAATTAGTTGTGTCAATCCAAAAAAATCCATAACTAATAAGCTATCTATATTGACCATAAATCAGAAGTGAGAACATTGCAAGCTTAGTCTTTTAAAAACATCATATGATCTCTTCTTTTCTGTTAAAGCCTTAGTGGGCAGAATTACTCAATATTTAAGTTCAATAGTTCGGTTCGGCTGGTTATTTTATTATATATATACCATACCAATTTTTCCGTTATTCTAGTAAAATTAGACTTTCAAAATCATCCCAATCATCTCGATTTCTCTTCAGTATCAGTACCGTTCGGTTACTTTTCGGATTGTTCTTCAAATTTCATGTAAGGGTCGCTAATAAAAATTAGAACGCGAAACATACGTACTTACTGTCATGGGCGGCTCAAGCCGTGCCCCGTGACCCCTTGGACGTGCCCCGTGATCCCTTGGACGCACCCCGTGGCGTCCTGGCAAGTCTCCCAGCGCCACGGTCGGCCCCGTGGTCTCGGCAGGTCCAAGTGATAAGCGCACATGTGCCTCTGTCGCCCCACCGATTGCCATCGCCAGCGCCCAGACAACGCCCCGCGCGCAGACCCTGATGCTAAAGACAAAGTTGCTGTCAACGGACTTATTTCTACCATGTAGAAGACTAAGTCATTTTTATTGTAAATATAGAGTAGTTTTACTTCATTTACTTTCAGTGTACTTCTACAACTTTTATAGGTCAAGTCATGTAATTTTGGTTTATTTTCTTTAAGTATTATTAGGGGGGATCAAGCAATCAAACTTTGTCACAAGCAAACAATTCTTTGTACTGGTGTCTCTTCCCCTCGGCACCGTGTTGTTTTTCTGTAATAGCTTTCATTAATGCAATCAAGCTTTCTTTCATTCTCAATTCTCTTTTTTGCTCTCTCAATTACTCTTGACATTGGTTTTTCCGTACGGCACTGATAATATTGTCTAGCATACGGAGGGGACCTCAGTTGGCGGATAATAACTGCACTGACATCAGTTGTTTAGCCTTATTTCGTCCTTCCAAAGAATCTCAGGAAAGTACCATTTAATAGTTGGTATCAGAGCCTAGGCTCGACATCAGACGAGGGATCACATTGCAATTACCACCATTTCTTACCATGGTAAATCATGGGGATCGCATCGCAACCCTTGAGGAGACGATTGATGTATTACGGCCCATCGTGGAAATAGTGCATGATCTAAAGACCAACCTAGTGCAAAGGTCGGACGACCAAGACCGCAGAATGCTCCAAGCCGAAGTTGACATAGAAAACATCAGTCGCGACTCTGAAGGAGACCGGCAAACGGCAGCCACAGAGGCAGCCAAAGGTTTTGGTAAATTCGAGGGCCTCCAACAAGAGCGTGCCGAGGATTTAGCCCACAGGGCACAAGAGGCAGACATGGTGACTGCCATGCAACAAACTATAGACAACTTGACAGGCCAACTCAACGTTGTCAATGCTGCTTTACAAGGCCTGTTTCGAGGATGCAAAAACCAAATCGGGGGTGCTGTGAACCTCGCCTCCGTGGCACAAAAACTAAAAATTCCTGAGCCAAAGCCATACAGTAGAGCTCGGAATGCCAAAGAAGTGGAAAACTTCATTTTCGACATCGAATAGTACTTCCATGCCGTGGGGGACTAGAAGAAGCTAAGAAGGTAGCAACTGCTACCATGTATCTTCAGGGCGATGCTAAACTCTGGTGGCGGGTGAAGTACGAAGCCATAAAGGCCAATGAAGATGCCTTCGAGACATGAGCAGAACTGAAGGCAGCCATACACCTACAGTTCTTCCCCGAAAATGTTGAGTACAATGCAAGGAGAAAGCTACGGGAGCTCCGCCAGACCAAATCAGTGCGGGATTACGTGCAAGAATTCTCCGTGCTCATGCTGAACATATGTGACATGGGGGACAAAGACAATCTCTTCACCTTCCTGGAAGGTTTGAAACCTTATGCCCGTATGGAGCTGTAAAGACAAAGGGTAGACACTTTACCTAAGGCGATCCAAGCAGCGGAGTGCCTTGGAGACTATCAAGTGGAAGCTCGGAAGGATAGGCCTCAACAGCCTATCCGAGGAAGATATAAAGGGGGCTAGCCGAGAACTGGTGGCCCTAGCAGAAGTGGAGGAGATCGGAGTGCAACCAAATCTAAGGCTCCCTCCTCAGGCAGTACTAGCACTGTATCTAACAACAACGATTGGGGGAGGAAACCCCCTTCAGGATGCCATCATTGCGGCGGACAGTATTTGAATAATGAATGCCCACATGTGCAGATGAACGCCCATCAAGCTTTTGATGATGGGACTGATGACGACGCAGATGATGCGGACCAGACCGAACCAGTAGGTGCCTTCAATGCAATTATTGGATCTATTTCTGAGCCTTAGCGGGAACCAGTGCTGGTATCGGTAAAAAGAAGGATCCATGCCCGATCACCAAGAAAAGAAAGGAGAAGGCGAATGAGAGGACTCCTCTTAAATAATAGAGGACCTTAATGTTCGTCGAGATGAAGGTAAATGGCAAGCCCATTCGGGCGATGATAGAAACGGGTGCTACCCACAACTACTTATCCTCGACTCAGGTGGAGCGCCTTGGTCTAATGGTAGGAAAGGGCAGAGGTCGTGTCAAGGCTATCAACTCACCTCCTCAACCAGTGGGTAGAATATCCAAAGAAGTACAAGTGAAGTTTGGCCCTTATGAAGGAAAATTCAACATGCGCGTGGTGATCATAGATGACATCAAGTTGATATTAGGGTTGGAATTTCTGAGGCAAACCAACACCATACATGTAATAACCTGACCGGTCATTTTACATTCTAGAACCTCGTTCCCCTAAATAAGATTCCTCATATTTTCATTTACTATTTTATGACTTGCGGGGATGGTTAGTTTGGGATTTGGAAGGGTTCGGGTTGAAATCGGAACACTTGGTTTCTAAAAGTTGGAAAATAGGGTCAAGTTTGACTTTGGTCAATGTTTTGAGTAAACGACCCTGGAACTGAGATTTGACGGTTCCAATAGGTTCGTATGATGATTTTGGAATTGGGTGTGTGTTCGGATTGGGTTTTGGATGACCCGGGAACGTTTTGGCACCTAATATTAATAGTTGGCAACTTGAAGGTTTAAAAAAATTTTAAATTTGGTTTGGAGTAGGTTTTGGTGTTATACAGGTCCGTTTGGGATTCCGAGTCTGAGAATAGATCTGTATGGTGATTTTAGACTTGCACTCAAAATTTGGTATNGTTAATCGGACTAGACTCGGACCAAGTTTGGACTTAGGAGAAATGGCTGAAGCTTCCAGCTTCTGATGTAACCGCACATGAGCATGGCCAGCCATAGGTGCGAGCTCCCAGCAGTGAGCAAGAATCCGCAGAAGAGGTCCAACGAGGGCAGCTCAGAAATCGCAGGAGCGGAGAATTTGGGCGCACCTGCGGGCGCGCAGGTGCGATGGAGGAAGCCGCATGAGCATCCAAAGTTGCAGCGACGGTGCTAATTTTGGCTCAGCTAGAGAAAAACGCATCTGCGAGGATTTTTTTCACAGATGCGGGACCGTAGAAGCGGCCGTACCTCCGCAGGTGAGAAAATCTCTGAAGGCAGAACCTTCATTTAAGTCGGGGTTTGAGCATTTTTGACTCATTTCCATCATTCTTGGAATGTTTTTGGAATTTTTGGAGAGGGGTTTACACCTAGCATTTTGAGGTAAGTAATTCCTACCCAATAAAAGTTTAATACATAGATTATGGATAGATTTTAACATGTAAATTTGTAAAGATTACGGGTTTAGGTGAAAAATCTAGGTTTTGATAAAAATAAAATTTTAACCACAAAAATGATTATGGAATGGGATGAAAATTGTATACTTGAGTTCTTAAGGTTATGGGTAACGATTTCCTTCAAATATTTTCGTAATCCGGGCACGTGGGCCCGAGGTGAAGTTTAGGAATCTTTCAATTTGGGTTGGGTAATTACTCTAATAATTAAATTATGAACTTTTGAGCTTGTATTGATTAAATTATATAACATTTGGCTAGTTTCGGATTTTTCGGCACCGAGTTGAGGCTTTAGAGCGAAATTGTGACCGGGAAATGAACTTTTGAGACGAGGTAAGTCTCTTGTCTAATCTTGTAAAAGGAAAATTTCCCCATAGGTAA